AAATCCATTGTTATAGCCTGATCGTGAGCCTTGAAATAAACTCAGTGAAGGAATTGTGGCCCAGAAAGGATATATCTGAAAGTACATAAATGGTTAATTCAGTGGTTTGGCAGATTGACAAATGGGTAAATAAATGGATGGAATGATCAATGGAAGATGAATGAATGAATGAACCAACAGTTACTGAGCATAAACTATAGGACAAACACTTAATGAACCCTTTCTTAAAGTAGTGATTAACAGCCTAGACTCTGGAGTCAGACTGTCTGGGTTTATATCCCTGCCACTCACAAGCTATGTGTCCCTGGGAAAGTCATTCATCCCTTCTGTAGCTCAGTTTCCTCATCTATGAAATAGAACTTGCAATAGTGCTTCACATGTATCACTTTCCAAGGGCTGCCATAAGTGGTGTGGCTTAAAAACAATAGAAATTTATTCTCTCATGAGTCTGGAGGCCAGAAGTCCTAAATGAAGGTGTCCCCAGTGTCACATTCCTTTCAGAGGGCCCAGGGGGTCATTCTTCCTTTCTGCTTCCACCTTCTGGTGGCTCCCAACATTCCTTGTCTTGTGGCAATGTAACTGCATTCTCTTCCTCCATCTTTACACATTCTCTCTCATGTGTCTAGGTGTCCCTTTTTTTTTCAAATTCAGATATGATTGACATATAACATTAGGTTCAAGTGTATAACATACTGATTTGATATTTATATGTCTTCTCATCCTTTTATAAAGACATTATGCATTGGATTTAGGGCCCATTCTAATCCACTTTGACTTCAGTTAATATCTACAAAGGTTTTATTTCCAAATAAGGTTATGTTCTAAGGTCCCAAGAGGACTTGAATTCTTGGGGGGGGGCACTATCAACCCCCTTAACTGCTTCATGGAAATATTATAAGGACAAGGTTAATTTTAGGACTTACACAATTAATAGATATTATATTAAGTGACTGATATTATTAATATAAGTACTTGTAGTGTCTAACATATGATCAGGGGTATGAAGCATTAGTTATTACTGAGGATGGCACTCAGGAAATGATTCTTTCTAATCACTGCTTTCTGCTGCATAGTATCCATATTCCAGTACAGGTGGAAATGCTGAGTTATTAGATTAATCCATAATAATGCTTGACTGTGCCCTTGAAGCTATTTCACATGGTTCATATTTCTTTCCTGTCTAGTAAAATGACTAAGTAGACAAAACATTAAATAGTGATGAAAGAAACCTTCATTTTCCAAATTCTTCCTTCAGATTTTGATCATCTAGGGGGAAAAAAACACTGGCCAACCTACATGCTTTAATTTTGTGCCAACCAGCTTCTGAGGCAGTGACCTCTTCTGTATAACTCTCCACTGGGCAGAGCTCAGCTTTTTGTGGGACCTAATTCCCTTTCTTAGTAATTTGCCTACAGCTGGCTTTAAAAAGACATTGTTTAGACAGAATGCTCAAGATTTACAAAACAGGCTGTAGCCTGTAGCAAGAGTAGCCCCTAGGTATTTGATGAAAAGACAGCCAAGAAATGCAGCACATTGATATGGAGCCTAATACAAAATGTTATATATATATATACATATTTAATATTAAGGAAATAAACAATAACATATAGATTCTCTAGGCAGAATTTGAAAACAAATAGTGAAGACTTCATTATTCACCCTACCACTTATGCAACATGATTTGAAAAAGTGTAAAAGTTAAGACAAAGGCTAGTGAGTCTTATATTAGACCACATCTGTTTGGTTCACCTCCATCCAGCCAGGTGTCAATATTCACAACGAGCACATGGTCAGTACTCAGCAGCTGTCTGTGGAAGAAAGATGGGGCTGCGTTTCTTGCAGGTGGTTGAAAAATAAAAGGAGGGACTTCTTGGTTCTTCTTCTGTGGTCATTAATAACTTCACTTCCTAAGCTGTTTTTCTGCAAGGCAGTCTTCATTCCCCTCTTCTTGCTTTTCCTTTGTATTTTCCTCACCCTTTTCCCCCCTTGCTTTTCTTTGTGGTATAAAGTGACCTATGTCTTGTTGTATTAGTCATGTCAGTATGTAATACAGCACTGAGAAAAGTGAAGAAAATAAGTTTTTGCCCCTTCTCTTCCTTCTAAAGTTCTTGGGTGATAAACTGGATAAAATAGGTGATAAACCACCTCAGAGAATTATTTGATGCCAGGGTAATTGGGTGAAGTAGATATAGTGAAGGCATTCACCAGAGAATGCTCTACCATTAGAGTAGCTGTTCTTAGATATGAATCTATGAGCAGGTTTTGCATTCCTGAGCCATATGAAATAGTGCTCAAATTATGTGTGCATAAGCATATTTGATGTGTCTGTGCAGATTTGGGGTGCAGTTGCTGAAGGAAAATAATTTATTCTCAATTTTTGTATGCCTCAAAAGAATCTGAACTCCAAATAGAGAACCACTGTAATAGAACATTTGGTTTATACTGTTTACATTCTGTTTTGTTTTAGAGTTTCTGGTGGAAAAATTATTAGATTTTGGAGGAAAATGAACAGTATATAAAATTTCCACCTTTCCAGATCTGGAATCAATACAGGGGCTTTCCTTGAATTATGTCACCTCTTTTTCAACTTATTTAGCTGCTGTTTTATGTACTCAAAGTTAGAGTTTGGGATCCTTAACTCACAGTTATTATATCTGGCAGTTGAAATATCCAGTCAGTCTGATGTCACTTGTTCAAAGCAGATCAGAGCCCCTCTTGGCAAGCTCACCGATAAGTCACTGCACAGGCACAAAGATGATGTTTTATGGTACAATGAGCCATCCTTGCACAGCTAATTTATTTCTAATGTACTAACCAAATAAAAAACTAACCTTTTCAAAGTAGTAAACCTCTATAAAGACTTTATTTCTCTTTAAATTCCTGGAAATGAGTTTGTCCTTAGATTTTAAACTGTATCTCTTTTCCTCCTCTTACTTAATCCTATGCACCTATTAAATGATTTGCATGCTTGACTCAAATCCCAATTTTATTTTAGCAATGCCTACATATGTTTCCAGATACCTGACTCAATGGCTTAGTTTATGATCTGTCGTATTTAGCTTTGCATCTTAGTCGATTCTCAAGTTAAATAGCTGTTGTCCTTAATAAAACTTCCTGTTATTGTTCCAGGTAATATGTTAATTAATACAGTAATTTCCACACGATTTACTTATTTATTGATTCATTCATAGAACAATTATAGGTACCTGCTGTGTGCTAAAGATGCTTCCAGTTGCAGGGGAAACAGAAAGGTGAATGTTATAAATGTAGTCACTGCCTGTGCTAGGTCAAGGCATGTGGCAAGTCAGGCAGGCCAAAGATGTATGCCTACTCAAGCCTACAATCTTTAAATGAATTGGTTTGCTATTTATTTAGAGCAGTGGTTCTCAACTTTTGCCCCCACCCCAAGGGAAATTTGGCAATTCTGGAGACATTTTTGGTTGTCAGAAATTGGGGGATACTGCTGGTACCTAGTTAGTAGAAGCCAGGGATGCTGGCATATATTTACACTGAACAGGACCATTCCCCATATCAAAGAATTAGCAGGATCAGAATGCTGATAGAGCTGAGATTGAGAAGCCCTGGTTTAGAGGAAGGAATATTCCTTCAGAGAGGCATATTGCAGTGCCTGGGAGGGTGGAGACCCTAGAGGCAGTGCTCTTTCCTTTGAGTTTGAGCAAGTCAGCTCTTAACCGAAATGACCCACCCTAGAACCAAAGACCCTTCTGAGGGATGGGATTTCCTTCCTCTCAATTACGTGTCCAGAGATGAATTAGCATTCCTCAAAGACTGGCATCTTGGCAGCTTCCCAGTGGCCTACTCCTTAATCTGCTTCTGTTTGTTTGTTCTTAAGGGGCTTATCATTTAGGGAGGAAGAAGGACAGGTAGATGGAAACTGTGATGTGTGTAATAAATACCGAGAGAGCTCAAGGATGGAATTAATGCTTTGGGAGTGTGAAGGAATTAATCTCTGCTTGGGAGGTCAGGAAGGCCTTATACACGAGGGAGCATGTGAACAGGGGCTTTGAGGGAGGTATTTGCAAAGTGGTTGAAAGAAGACACTTTCCTCTTTTAAGCCATACCCTGCATGATTGCACTTACAACTAGAGAAGAGATGTTTTGGGCTGCCCTTTGAGGAAAACCTGCTTCTGTATTGTTCTAAACTGAGTGAGCCTCCTTTACAAATTGTGCAGACCTAACTTTGCAGTCTTTCATCTCTCTTCTTTCTATTAAAGATTTCAATAGGGGGTGGTTTCAACTATGCAACTGTAGGCATTAGAGTTTAGCAGTAGGTCAGCTTTCAGTGAATGAATTACAGATTTGGTATTTCTTGTTTTAAAATTTATGTGTATACATTTATTTGCTCCTGCAGTTGACCCTAAGGTTGTGGCCTTAGCTGGAATATATGGAAAGCACACTTCACAATCTGTGTGGACATTTATAAATGCTTTTCAAATGCAGTTTGTGTTCTAACCCATAACTGTTTTTTAGGAAAATCTAAAAGAATATTATGACCCACGAATTCCTGTTAAACTAGCATAACAACAGTAAATGTTTTTGTGAAGCTATTAACTGAAAAATTGGTCATGATAGTTAAATACAAAAGAATGCAGTAGACGTTACATTTCTGGTAAAATAGAAGAGTGAACTTTTCATAATATAACCAGCAGGAAGTTGTGGCATTTCTCTTTACTCTTAGGAAATTGTATGTTGACTTAGGGTGCCAAAACATTTTGGGAAATTCTCTCTTTCAGTTCAGAACCAGTTATGACATCACATAAGGGGTAATTTTGTATACTTAAAACTAACTTTTAAAGAGTTTCTCCATTTCCTGGTGACTTTACAAAGACCTTTTATTAGTATTTTCATGTTAGAAATACAAGAGTTCAATTTTAAAATCTCAGTTTTACTTTCATTCCAGTTTGGACTATAAACTGAGTAGTTAGAAACTACATATTAGTTTCATTGATCATCAAAACATTTTTCTTTTTTTCTTTCAGTCTGATGCCAATGCAAGTTACTTAAGAGCAGCTCGAGCTGGACATTTAGAAAAGGCTCTTGACTACATAAAAAATGGAGTTGACATCAACATTTGCAATCAGGTTAGTTGTGGTTATCGTTGTTCAATTCTGTAGTTAAAAGTTTTAAAATCCAGACTTTAAACTCATGAAATCTTTTGTTAGATATTACTAAGACTTTTCCTGGACTGCCAGTTTTTTTTTTCTGTTAAATTTCACCAGCTTAAATTATCAAATTATTTTCTACTTTGTCAGAGAAGCATCTAGAAATGGAGGTATGCATCTTTTAATGAGTCCTAAAACTTAGTAGGTAATGATAGCAGAACAACCCACCTGATTTTTCAAGTACTTTTATTCCTAATTCAAATTCCTGCACTGCACACATGCAAGTGACTGTTGGTGGGATATTATCTGCAGAATCCTAGATAGGCTGTTTATTGCTCTATTTTCAACCTGATTAGTAAAGCTTTCCCTTTACTTTTCATCAGAATGGGTTGAACGCTCTCCATCTTGCTTCCAAAGAAGGCCATGTAGAAGTTGTTTCTGAACTGCTACAAAGAGAAGCCAATGTGGATGCAGCAACAAAGGCCAGTATCACACAGTTTAATGCCTTTTATATCACTTGACAAATTTGAGGAGTTTTCAGGCCTCAATAAGAATCAGGACATGCTTCTCATGAGATACTTATCAATGTGGTTTTCTTTGGGGAACTTAAAAACATAAAAGGATTTGATGTTTGGAAAATGTGGAAATGGAGAAAGATGGGTGAGTTGATGTATCTTGTTTTTCACTTTATAGAAAGGAAACACAGCATTGCATATAGCGTCTTTGGCTGGGCAAGCAGAGGTGGTCAAGGTCTTGGTTACCAATGGAGCCAATGTCAATGCACAATCTCAGGTAAACTACCAATTCTGTTGCAAAGAAGTTTTGTTTTTATTCTTTACAAATAATGTTCTTTGGGTCAGGTGCTTTCTTTGTTCATATATCCTCTAAGAATATAATACTTAAGAGCTATATTCAATTAATACTTCCATTGTTGTAGATTATTTAAATTCACAGAGCTCCTTATTTGCAATGTATGTGTGGGAGAGGTAGAGATTTGCTAGTTGTCCATCTATGAAAGTGTCTGACTGGTAGTTGTAAACACAGATGTCTAGGGGATATCTGTCATACAGAATCTTACACTATTTTATGATGCTGGGTCAGGTCTAGTCTCAGTATTTGTTAACCTATAAAAGAACTGGGAATGCCTGGAAATGAGGAAATGCTCTTTGAAGTTCACAATATACAGTGCTTTTATCTGTTTGAAAAGGGAAGACACTGCGTTCCTGCTTAGTAAAATGTCATTGTTCCATGAAACAGATTAATAAGGAAAAAGCCAAGTAGAATAAACTTTAAAAGTCCCCAAACTTTAAAATTTCCATGTTCTTTATAATAGATATACACTAATTATTCATTCAGTGGGTCCTCCTGTAAGTTTTCAGAGTCTTGCATGAAGTTCTAAGGGCACCCGTAGATTATCATTTGGTAGAATCTGAATCTAAAAGCACTAACTTCACTTTAGTGGCTTAAAAATATAGGTCCTCCTTATCTAAACTTTTTATTATTTGAGTCCCTACAGAATGAGGTTGTATAGGGAAGCCAATATCATCATAACATACAAAAATCCGCTATGGACCCAACCACATTTAAAACTGGCCCCTCTGCAAACATTTCTCCTGATTGGGTGCTTTCACCCACCCCTGTTCACCAGTGTCTACCCCCATGGTGTTGGTTATTGAACAAATTGATCATAGAACAAAACTGCAAGTTTTCCAAAAGAAACAGGATTTCATGAAGTCAGAGAACGTGATGTTGGAGAACCGCTGGGCACACAGCTAAGCCGTGGGTATGTGGCTTTCTGGCCTCATTAGACCAGACAGTGTATGAAGAATTAGGATGATTTCCTGATTAGTGTTTCAAATGAGAATGATTTAAAAATCAAAAGATTAAATGAGCCAAAAAAAAAAATTAGGTGAGGCCTTGGGTTCTCAAATACTTTTTTTTGCAAAGGAGATTGTGTTTTTGCTGATGCCATAAAAATAAAAGGTGAAGTGAAGGATGTCAAGCTATTACGTGCTTTTGTTGAAAAAGTTTACTTTTCCTCCACAAAAATCATATTTGGTGTAGTCGTTCATTCTGAGAACTCATATATGAATGCAGTTATAACCTTCATTTAGTTAAATAATATCAACTTGCTTCTGCACTTTCTATTTTTGCCTTCCAAGGTGAAGTCTTAGCCTAACGTTTTGCGTTATTGACTATTGCCTTTTGATCTCCATTCTAAGTGCATTTGATTTCCTCAGCCTTTTTAGAACTGGTTAGCTTTGGATAACAGGAGCCTCCTAATGTTATGGGTCCACAGAATTGCAGTGATTTCTCTCTCATTACTACAGCCATAGCAATGATCCCTCTGATGCCATTAAATTTCAGAGTCATGGAAAAGAGACTGAACAGTGTTTCCAACCATATGATTTCTTGTATATCTGTTCTAATTTTTTCCAGTTCTCTGTGTTTGGACCTTTGTTACATTCTGGTTCCCTATGAGAGTTCACTTGGAGTAATAATGCTTTTCCAGAAAGGAATAATATAAGGTTGGATATTGACAAGTATAGTCCTTTGAGAGAGTTACACACCAGCTGACTATAAGAGAAGTATCACACTTTAAACCAATTTTTTAAAGCCCCTGTGACTTTTTACTGGAAAATGACTAGTGTTAAGCTCTGATATAGTGGGAAAACTCTTTAATCCATTTTCATTTCTATTTCTTTTCCGCCCAAGGGAGAAAAAAATAAACCCCCTTCTCTTAAATGTTGCACACATTCTTGACTAACGTATGGAGCAGCCATGGTTTTAGACCTTGTTGGCAGTGTCTGGGAGAAGCTGAATTGAAATACACCCCTAATTAGATATGATGTCCATTATACACATTCCCTCCTGACAGTGAAGTGAGGAAGAAGAACACAGGCAGTGGGAGTCCCTGTCTGTCATAGCTGTGCACAGCATGCCCTGCCACACGGTTCACAGTAAAGCGTGTCCTGGACATCAGGATGCCTGCCTCCTGAGCCTCCTCATTCCGTGGTAGAATGAGTCTGAGGTAGCCCTGCAGCAGCATGGAGTTTCCATGCCAACTCCCGATGGCAGCTTTGAATAGGAACTCTTACAAAGGACAACAAACAAAATGCCGTGAGATGAGTTTATATTCCATTTAGACATCAGCACATATAATATCACAGAAATAATAACAATCAGGAAGGGTAGCATCCCTATCTAAGTGAAATTTTAGCCTATAGGCAATATTTTAGCCAATAGCCAATCAAGAGAGTGTAGAGAGAGTCCCTTACCTTCCTTAAATATAAAAATTCTCCTTATCTTGAAAATAAAAATGACGTGGGACAATACCAAATTCTAATCTTATAAACTGAGGGTCTGTAAGCTATGAATTTGTAGATGTTATTTTAAATTGATTCATGTCACTGCCTTGATCTTATATCTTCCTAAGTTAGTAACTCTTTCTTTTATTATTTAACCTTCCAGGAATCGTTTAGGCCTACCCTGGGAAAGAAATCAGGTTCAATAATTAAATTGTGATATTAAAGAACTCTACTAAGATTAAGTCCTTAATCCTTTGCGCTAAATACAGCAACAATAATTAACAGTGTTTCCAATTGGAAAATCTCAAAATGCCACATCAAATGATAACACTCTTTCTCCTTCTCTGTCTTTATAATATAAGACACCAACTATGTTTACAAAGAAGCAAAGTATGTTTTGAATAATATTTTTATTATCAAAGTATCCTAAATGGACAGGTTTTCATAGTGGTGTTAACAAATACAAGACCCTTTGATTAACAACCAGTGTCTCCTTGGTCTTTCTGTATGTTTAATGTTTATTGTGGTGGGAAGCTCAGGCCCTGATGAAGTCAAACAGCAGGTTTGGGATGTGATCCAGATAAAGTCTCTCTGATCTTTGACCTTACAGCATACCCTCTAATCTAAGAGACCTTCACAGAAATTAATATTTTATGTAAATCAGTGCAAATCTATCACCATGCTCTTAACAGTTTAATTAAGGGCAGCTGTACTAAAGCTGGCCATAGGACACTAGGATGGATAAAAAAATTTCCTGGATGAAATTTAAGCCCTTTAATGAAACAACAGGAGGACTTATTTTATTTTGTTTTAATTTATTTTCATGGGTATTAGCATGCCTCAGTACTATGTGTAAAATTCTAAGTCTGCAGATTTGCATTCTTATAATAACACTACAATAAACATTCAGAGCAAGGTACTGGGTATTTTGGATAAAACCAGACATCAAAGAGCATACTGGCTCAATCTTGAGCTGCTCTGCCTTTGGAGAATTGGGTCTATTGTTGCTACAGAGAAGAAAATGTAAACTGGGTACACACATACATTCCTTTTGGCCAGGTATTTGTTTTGGAAATTTCCTAAGTTAGAAAATTAATACAAAAACAGTGGTATCCTTTTTTACTCTTAAGAGAAATATAACATTCTGAAATCTGAACATTCTCCCAATCCAGGTAGTTTTTCATAGAAAATCATTCCAGCTGGTGACAGTACATTGAATTACTTGTGCTTTTAACCTCTTTGTGCTGAGAATAATTTTGAATGATGACACTGTTCTGGAATTAGAAAGTGGGGATAGTTGCCCGACTTTGTGAATATACTGAAAAAAACCTCTAAATTGCTCACTTTAAAAGGTTGAGTTTTATGGCATGTAAATTACATATCAATAAAAATAAAAGTGAAAAAAAAATGAAAGAATATCACTTAAGAAAATCTCTACTTTCAGGTTATAGTCAGAGGATAGCAAGCACTCAAAAAAAAAAAAAAGAAGAAGAAGAGCCATGTGGAAAACAACTAGATATGCTCCATCTTGCTGTGACTATTGTCTACATGTTATTTCTGACTAATTGCAGTTATGCACTTTTCACTCTCTGCCATTGTGGAATGATTTAAAAGTTGTACTTCTACGCATCATTCTTTGGAAGCTTCAGATCTATAAAAACAGCATCCTCTATATCTCAGGGCCTGATTTTTGTATTTTCTTCCTGGGTCATGAACTCTGATTTTGGAAGGCAACCTTAGGAACAGTGGACATACATGGGATAGAAGGTAGACATTTGTAGGTAAACCAGTGTTTCACAGGTAATCAAACTATAGCACACTTCTTCCCTGAGGTTTAGAGAATCCACTGACATAAACTGTCTAGTTGATATTTATGTTTGAGGGAATAACATCTTTTCTGGAATTTTTCCTTAAGAAATTCTAAAATCTGAACCTTCCATCTGGAAATTTGGGCTGATGAGGAAAGATGGATACGTCTGGTTCACTAAGCTATAAGAAAGTCCACACTGGTTTTCACCTTTCTTTTCTAATATGTTTGATTGTTGTTTTTTCTTCTGTCTTGGTTTTTAAGGCATATTTAAATAAACCAATGATTAAACTATCTTTTATTTTGGTCAAATGAGAAAATAGCAATACAATAGGGCCATTCTGAACTACCTTTCTGTTTCTCTAGGAAGAGTGACAAAGAGGAAACACACAGGCACGTGCACAGACACATGCACACACACACACACACACACACACATACACAAATTGTGTTGCAGTTATTCCATTTTTAATGTTGATAAAACCTTTCATGATAGAACAGTAACAGTGAACTTCAGGGATGTTACTAAGTAGATAAAATAAAAGGAAAAGGCTAAAATGTTGTGTCGTATTCTACTCCCTCTAATTTTGTGTCTCTAATCTTGAGCTTGGCAACCAGATACCCTAGGTTGTTACAATTATGTGTAAAATAGCGTAAGTAAATAGGACAAATCTCTGATGGCTAAAGTATATACACTATGGTAGATTTGTTACATGACATCACTTTTATCTGCTCAAGGCTCTTTTAATTTTCTTTCTGATTATCACCTTTAAGCCAAAAATGTGAGGTCATCAGATCTGAATTATGAATGATTAAGGTAATCATATGCTAATTAATATTTATAATGATGAAGCTAAACCTCTTGAATCATAAAAGTTTGAGTAATATTTGGTAATAATTTATTTAGAATATATTTACACTTTCATTCTTTGAAAGTATGTAATGCCTACAATAAAATTTCCAGAACATGCAGTTAAACAGAACTGCATTCTGAAAAATATTTTCACAGAAAATTTGTTATATTTTGAAAATTACCTGTTTTGATGTATATATTGTGCAATAAAATTTAAAGTACTACAGTATTTCATAGATATGAAATGCATTGTTCTAGAGAGCGAAGATATATATACAACGTAAGAAGCTTAAGATGTAATATACACATTCATTTGCTTAAATCCAAGTTCTTTGGCATCTGGACACATTTCAGACAAACCCAGAATGTGTGCATGCATGTATATTATGTATGTATAAGTATGTGTGTGTATTCTGAATATCAAAACACCATGTTTTTGAAAAAAAAAAACGCAAGGAAGGAAACTAACAAAAAAAAGACCGCTAAGTGAATTCTACTTTGAAATTGAAGTATACTCTTTTATAAATTGGTGTTTATAAATTATAAACTGTAAGTCACCCAATTTGTGATGTATCTGAAGTTATTTGAAATTAATATAAATTCTTTCTTAAGTCAGACCTATTTCAGATGCTTGATTTTATGTGAAAGTATTACATCTTTTGTTTAAAATAGATAGTTACTGCTTCGGATAAAAAAATTCACTGGACAATGACCAAATGTATTTTTCTTCATATCCTCATATCATCTAGTAAAATCCTTTATTCATGAAAGGTAATCAATAAATGGCCAATGACTAAATGAGTATGCTTATCTAAAGTGTATATATTGGTATGAATTATACTTAGACCATTAACAGGCATTATGCTCAAACTAAGAAGTTTAATTGTGCATTACACTTAAAAATTCTGCTTAAACTATTGTACATTAATTTTCAAATAAATATGAACATCTACATTATAATATTATTAAAATTATGTATGAGCATTTTCTGAAACATGCAATATCAGTACAATGGAAAAATATTCTCTAAAGCTACATGCAAACATTTTACTTATTTTGCAGAATGGGTTCACACCACTGTATATGGCAGCCCAGGAAAACCACCTGGAAGTTGTCAAGTTTCTTCTTGACAATGGTGCAAGCCAGAGCCTAGCCACAGAGGTAAGACACTGGTTCTTTCTATGGGGAAGTTCACATTTATAAGGGCATTTTGTAAATCTGGAATAGTGACGTTAAAAATTTGTCTGATTGGTCAGTTGCAATCGTATATTAATGTGGGGGTTAATAAGTTTTTATAAAATACGTTAAAAAGTCTATTTTTAAAAAATCTTCCATTGCAGATATCTTGTGCTCTTAAATGTCTAGCTGTACCCTATAATTGAGCTGTTTATTTAATATTTACATGTTTGCTTGAGAACACTTTTCTGTTTCTTATAATTTTGCCTCAAAGACACACACTCTTGAAATATTTTTGTGGTAAAACATAAATTTCAAATATTTCTTTCCAAATATGTTAGCATAATTATAATGATTGTATTTATCTATTTCTCAAGTTAACTAATTAAATTTATTTCACACTTTAAGCAAAACCTAGTATATATTTTTCTTTCCAAAGAGTTTCTTTATTTTTTTAACATACTGATTAAGATATAATTCACATAACACAAGGTTTACACATTTAAAGTGAAATTCAATGGCTGTTATGTATCTGCAGAGTTGTGCAACCATCAGCATAATCTAATTTTAGAACATTTTATCGTCTCCAAAGAACCTTACCCCCTCCTTCATTAGCAGTCATTCCCCTTCCTCCTCAGCCCCTGGCAACCACTAATCTACTTTCTGTATCTATAAACTTCCCTATTCTGGAACTTACTGTAAATAAGACCATAAAATATATGGTCTTCTTTGCTGGCTTCTTTCACACTGCATAATATTTTCAAGGTTCATCTGTGCTATAGCATATATCAGTATTTCATTCCTTTTTCTTAATTTTTTTTATTTTGGTATCATTAATCTAAAATAATATGAGGAACATAATGTTTACTAGACTCCCCCCCACATCAAGTCCCCCCCACATAACCCATTAGTCACTTTTCATCAGCATAGTAAGATGCTACAGAATCACTACTTGTCTTCTCTGTGTTGCACAGCCCTC